CTCTTATACTCTTAACCTTATTTTGTTCATAAAAGAAATACTCATTCTCAATTTTATTTTCCTAACCCTTTGTGAATTAAACTCATTAAACCATATTAAACCCTCTTTTAGTTGAAACCACCATTTTAAACATTACATTTCACTCATTTTAAAACTTTTCTGCTCTTTGAAATATTAACATCACACCCTATATATACTAAACGACGATTTCCCAAAATCCTTTCCTTTTCTTTTTTCAAAGATGGCTTTTGGTGCATGTAAATCAAAAGGGCCTAATATTAAATGGGTAATTCAATCTGTTTAAAATGGCTACAATTGTTTTTTGTACTTGGACCCCCCAAAAAAACAAAAAGAACAGGTTTTGGGTACTAGCGATAAAATGGAAACACTTACCAATTAAATACCAAGTTAGTTTCTCTTTCAACCCCATTTTCCTTAAAATGGCTAGTCCCTCTTCTCGTAGGATATGTAATATAATACGAAATGATTGCTACGATACTCTTAAATTTGAGAGTGTATTAAACATTTTTTTTAGATTATACTAGATATTAAATAATATTTATATATTTTTTAAATACATCACTAACTTTATCACTATAATTAACGGTTATAATTGTTCTACTATACAAAAGTATAAAATACTTTCTATTTTTCAAAACATCTTATAATTTACCATATTAACAAGTCATGTATAAATAGTCTTACAATAGATGGGATGACGTTTATTTAGAATAATCATGCATTCAAAATTAATTTAAATATGTATGTTATGCATGAAATCATAATTATATTACAACTACATCAAATAATTTATATAAAACAAAAAAAAATATAACATATATGACATTCAAAAAGAGTGAATAGAATAAAAATGTCATAAATATCAAATACTAGTATAATCATGTATATAAAAAAAAATTTGGATCATATTCCATCAATACAATAATTATTTAATTAATTTAGGCACAGGTTAATTAATTAAAAAAATTTAAAGTGCCCAAAAAAATTATGAAAATTGTCTAAAATATCAAAAATTTAATTTCAAAAAGATTAAAAAAATATTTGGGCCCAAACGGACCCCTAGGACATCCTCCATGCGACACACTCTCCCAGCCCTGTGAGTGGGCTTTGTACACATAAAAAAAACCTATCAGCTGCAAAACGGGTCCAACAAATTTAGAAACCCGACCTAGTTCAATCTTACGTTCTAAAGCACCAATTCATATCGTTTTAAAGGGTGTATTTTGTACAACAAAAGAGAGTTTCAAAGGATAAAACTCGTGCAGCCATGGATGGTTCAAATTGAGAATTCAAGTAACTTAGATAGTTTCATTCAACGAGTAGGGTCCACTACGTTATTTATGATGTGTACAACAAAAACTCTATGGCTACTTATTGAAAAAGGTTTTTGTTTGAGGGAATTGAATCAAAACAAAAATAGGGCAATGACGAACGCAAAACGAAAGAAAGAATAAATTCTCAATCTAAATTAAATAAAATAATGAATTAATTATTAAATTATGTTTGTGCTTAATTTATTAACAAAAACCCTTAATCAATTTTCAAATAAACCTTTGCCTTTTTGAGAGAACCTTAAATAGTTATTATTATATAAACCTAATCAAATCCATACATAAAGTTATAGCATTTTGATTACTCAAAGTTAAAAAATTACCATGTGTATTAAGTTGGCTCTGAAATCTTATATATAAAATTAAAGTTTTGCAAAATTTTATATATAAAATTAAAGATTCTAGATTGTATACAATACACATCATAACATCTCAATATAATTCTAACTATATGTAATTAAATAATTGCATTAAATACGTACTTGATGAAAACCTGCGAGTGGTAAGCAATCCTTATGAGAACCTGCGAGTCATAAGTATTTTTAAGTCAGCGTGTACTACTCTCTTTTCTCTGATTGCTATTATCCCATAATAATAACTATTTAAGGTTCTCTTATTATTCTAGACAACATGATTAAACAACATGGTTTAATATTTTGACATCTAATTAATTTAGAATTAAATTCAAGTTATAACAAAAATTTATTTATATTAGTCCACACAAAATATTCAACAATTTATCTCCCACTTAGACAACATAGATCAAAACATCTTATTATTCTAGATTAATCAACAATATGTAGTCATAACAAGATGCCAAAATAAAATAACACGAACAATAAACATCTTAACAATGTAAAAAATCATATTCGAAGGAGTAGTAATATCATAAATTATAAAATACCTATATCATGTGACTCAACAACTCTAGTGGTATAAGTAGGACAATAAAATCTAGAACCTCTGTAGTCTACACAATATCCTACAAAGAAACTGCTAATTGGTTTCTATGAACAATGAAAGATAGTAAACTATGAAATTCTCTTAACATATCCAATGAAAATCAAAGTTTTGTAGAATTTTATATATAAAATTAAAAGTTCTAGATTGTATATAATACACATCATAACATCTCAATATAATTTCAACTATATGTAATTGAATAATTGCATTAAATGCGTACCTAATGAAAATCTGCGAGTAGTAAGCAATTCTTATTTTTAAGTGAGCGTGTATTACTCTCTTTTCTGATTGCTATTATCTCATACTAGTAACTGTCTAATGAAAAAACAATTATATAAGTTTAATCAGATGAGAGCAAGAACCTCTCACTGAGCACATAAAATGGTTCAACCCATCACGAACTATTCACATTAAGAGCCCAATTACGAAATTTATATAATAATAATATTATACACATTTATTTTACGGTATAATTAATAACAATATAATTATAATAATTTAATAATATTAATGTTAAAAAATCTATTAGATATCCTATTCTCCCAGTCCTAATGAAACTTCGATATTAACTTTCTAAAATCAGCTTACATAGTGATGAGCAAAAATGTATTACGTACCACTTGAGATATGTTAAAATATATTAAGCAAATTTACTTTTGTAAGGTATAATTTTAGAAGTTTTCATTGTTTTTTTCTAAAACATTTTATAATTTTTATTTATCTTTAACAAATAGAGTTGATGAAAATTTAAATTAAAACTAAAAAAATAAAAATTGATAAAGTTAAATTTAATATTATTAAATGGAGTAAAATTGTTATGCTAAATTTTTTTTAAAAAATTAATAAACTTAACTAATTTTAACTACTTTTATTGGTGTCTATGTAGTTTTGATAAATGTATATTAAAAGAAAGAAAGAAACTATTATTTTTGAGACACATCAAAAACTAAAATAATTAGAAAATAAAAATAATTATACATGATATCAATTGTTAGTTGTTTAAACAAATTACAGGAAAATGATAACATTAGGCTTTAGATCTAAATTTATTTTAAAAAATATTTATTATACTTAAAATATTAAAATGTAGTTAAAATTTTATTTTTAATAAAAATTTATTACTTTTAGCTTATCTATTAAATTGTATGATTTTATTATGTATTTTTTAGGTACACATTTCAAAAAATCAATTATATTGTTAGGACCAATGTTAAGATAATTGTCAATTTCCTTTTACAAGCTCTATAAAAAATCACATACTTCACTAGAAGGAAAAACAAAAGTCCATCTATGTTAAAAATGGTGCACCAAAATAACCAACTCAGCTAAAGAATTTAATTAGAAAATTGATTTAAATAAAGGCTGATACTACAAGTATATATCCTCAAGTATATTAAAAAGTGAAAATATTTTATAAAATAATGCTATTAATATATATTTTTTGTCTTAATTTTCAATGTTTCTTAAATTAATTTTAATAAAAAATTAATTTATTGACTCGTTAACTTTTTATTATTTATTCCTAATAAGTATTCTAAGAATATTAATTAATAAGATTCATACACAAATAATATAATTGACAGCCGATGACAGTATTGGCTAAGTCTGGCTAAATGAAAATTGAATAGCTTTGAATTGATCACCATCTTTCCTTTCCAAAACCGTTAGGGAAGTCTTAACATTTTTTAAATAAATTTGTCAAAAAGGTAAGGTACGTGCACTTAGTGAGAGTAATTAAAATTTAATTTTGATATAGCTACTTATAAATGAGAGTAGTAAAAAAGTCTAATAAATAATATTATCATAATAAAATTTTATCATCATTTTTTATAATTATATAATGAAAATAATTAATTAATACTTGTCACAAAAATAGAAATCTAACACAGTATTGCTAATATTATGCTTAGCAATAATCGTATTGAGGGAAAGTATGTGGTTGCCATAGTATACTCTAGATGAAGCTTGGAGGTGGGTGGTGATGGGTAGGTTATTTGTTCTAAAAATGAGACAAAAAGAAGAGAGAATAAAAATAACATAAAAGACAAAGAACTAAATTTTTAAAAAAAGGTGCAAATGCCAATAAAAGCAAATAAAATATTAGACTTTATTAAATGTTTAGTTTATATATATATATATACTGCCAAAGTGAAACGCATGATAAGGGCACCGTTTTACTACAAACTTTATTTGGACGATAATCTTTGGCACCAACCAGATTCCCCACCAATCGAATTTGACAAAAACAAATCCACAGAGAATCAACGACCTAATCCATTCATTCGTTGCTCTTTGGACACCAAAACTATATCACGCGCCACAGGGATTATTCATCATCAATTCACCAAAGAAAAATATTAATAACACATCTATAATTAAATTTAAATTGATTAACGATTGTTAAATTTAACATTTAAACTAATCTTAATTGTCTAATCTAAATTTGAATTGGTTAATTTGATAACATTAAACACAGACTTATTGATAGTTATCAAAATCTAGAATCAAATTGATGGAATGGAGTAGATGTATGTACTTGCTTTTTACCGTAATGGTTTAACGATAGTGTGTACACACCAACCAGAATGTGCGACAAGACAAAAGGCAAGCGCGTGGGATTCCAGAATTATTAACTTTTTCCATTGCTCTAATCACTAAACCGAACAATTCTAGTTTGGATTCATTAGGCGCTGTTTGGTGACACACACGCGCTCTGTCTCTCTCTAGACACTGTGAGGTTCCTCTGCTTCAGTTCACAAACAAGAACTGCCACGCATAGAACTTCAATTTTGATCTTGCAACACTCTCTGGTACTCTCTTTTCTCTAACCCCTTATGTTTTCCCACATTGATCTTGTCATTTTTTTACTTGTGTTGTTTGATTTTCTTCTTCTGACTTTCACTTGTAAATCAAACCAAACATTTTATTAAAAAAAATGATTTTTATTGATTCTATCAATTATGCTTTTTTTTTTTTTTAGGGGGGGGGGGGTGTTAATTTTTCTTATTCAAACCCAGTTTGAGATTTTAGAATTTGATTGACTTGAATTTGTTTCCATTGGTTGTTGGAGTGTGAACAATATCCTTGTGAACATTCATGATTCATGAGCACTCTTCATTCTCATTTGTGATAAAATACTGTTTCTTTGCATGTCAGGCCTGCTATGTGTGCTCAAATAATAGATTATACAATTGAAATGATATAGTCATGTGATCTGTGACGTTGTTCTGTGTGCTGAAATTGAGGCCGATATGTGTTTGGGACCACTAGACATTTTGGAATTTGGCATATGTAGCTGATGAAGTGAAAGCTTCTGAACGATAGATAATGTTCTCTATCCTTCGCTATACTGCTGCTTATATTCATTGTTTGTTCTAACAATGCATGGTCTTATTAGAGGAGAAATCAAAGGGAAAAGCCTATGCCCACTATCAATTTTTTTATTTTAAATAAATAATCCTTATGGGGATCACTCTCTTTTCCTCTAATAAATTGTCAAAATTTTGACTTCCTTTGCTTTCTGCTGGTCTATTGAACCTTCTACTTTTTCTGATTTGAGATTGAGTCACTTGACAAATATGTACACCGGTGGTTACACTGCTGAAGTTACAAACTTATCCCCAAGAGCAACAGAGAATGATGTGCACAATTTTTTTGCATACTGTGGGATAATTGAGCATGTAGAAATATTAAGGTAACGTTACTTAACCTTACTGGTAAAATTTCTGTATATCAAAATTGATACTTGATAGGATTTACTAACTAAACTGTGAGTAGAATTGAGCTTATTGTCCATGGTACCGTTAATAAGTTAAAAAATTACAACTAATTTGCATCTGTTCTTGATTTATGGTTACAATTCATTGTGTGTGTATAGGAGCCTATTTAGTGTGATTAGTTCCAATCATACTACATATATGTATGACTATTAATCAACCTTATTTAGTAAAAGACCATTACTACTATTTGTTATTAGCTATTGAGCACCTCACTATTAACATGGTGGACTGCAACCATAATGATATGGCAAAAGAATCAAAATCTTCATTTTCCATTTGGTGATTGTGCTTCACCAATACTGCTATCATATCCTGCTACAATGTGAAAGATAGTCAAGGAATTGGATATCTTAGAGATGTCTGAATCAATATTGGTAGATTATTATTCTTACATTGTCTCTGACTCTATAAAATTAGGTAATTGAAAGAAATTCAAACTGTTGTTGGGAGTGTTTATTCTGTGTCCATAACTTCATATTTGTTAGATTCCAGTTTATTTCAACTTCCTTTTGTATAATGTCTTCTAGTTAGATGGTTCTGTTGTTTATCTGGAAATAAATTAGATCAAACGTTTTACAATTTTTTTTTTCTGTTATTCAAATAAAGCTTTTTTGTTGTAAGTCAACTATGAATTGGATAAATTTGTCAATAGCTTTCACATTACTGATGGTTGCTGTAAATTTCCCTTTAATTTTGCAATTGTATATTATTCTTAATCAACCAACAACAGTTAACATGCTTATACAGAAGGTTGTCAAACTCTTCAACTCTTACAAGTTTACCCCGCTAGGTAGAGGAATCAAGTTAACTTGCTATCGAACTCTATTTTGGATAAACTTGAGTAGACTTGGTAAACTCATGCAAACTCGCATAAACTCTCAAGTTAATTAGTTTGAGATCAAATATTATTTTTTCCCTCGATTGACTCACAGCAATATTGTTTTATGCTGTCCAGGCACCTAAATGCAACATTTTCCTAGGGCTTAAATCAAATTACCCAAATCGATCAAGCCCTCATATTGTCGAGCCAACATTAAGGGCCCGAATATGTGTAAAATAGAGGGAACACTTTTGTTGACCCTCATTGGAAGATCAAACCCTCACCATTGTTGTCGACCAAACATATTCCTTATTGTTATTTGATATGGAATACTTTCTTGCCAAACATCATTACATCCCTCTAACATACCATGTTGCAAATCTAATATAGCAATTAGTTCGTGACATTTTTAGTAACACTAACTGGACCTTAGTTTGGAGCCAAATTATATGATAACCTATCTTATGTACACCTATGTAGATCTATGTATGTGTTCCTATTATAAATTTTTAAAATATCTTTATTTTTATAAGTTTACAAGTCAAGTTTATGAAAGCTTCATGAGATTACTTAAATTCTTGACGTTGACAACTTTGCTTATGTAGAATATTTTTAAGATGTTAATGATGGATCGCTTTATTTTGCAATGCTATAATTAAGAAAGATTGTATATTTTCAAGTTGCAAGGCCTAAATGACAGATATGTTAGTCAACTTGTAGTTATAATTTATAAACTATTAAGATTTCTTGAAAGAATTTGAAGAAAAGCCCTTTTCTCATGACACAGATCTGGTGACAATGCTTCTACTGCATATGTGACTTATCGGGATGGTTATGCTCTGGAAACTGCATTATTGCTGAATGTAAGTTTCTTATTCTCTTACTTCCACTCTCTTGTTGTAGGTTATCATGGATTGACATAATGTATGATAAATTTCCTCATTCATTTCACATAATTATGCACTACATATATAAAGCATGGACACACCATTTTGGTGCCACAAATGTTGGACATGTCTGAGTCTGAAAAGGCTCTTGTATTACACATTGACAACACATGTTCAATGTGCATCCATATGTGCCCAATTATTTCTGATGTTGTTGTTATTGTTATTATTATTATTATTATGGTCCTCACAGGGTGAGTCACAGTGTAGACATTGCCTTTCCAAATTAAATGACAAAGAGGTTGAGTTTGTTTTAACCTTTAAGAAATTGTTAATAATAATTAAAAAAAGAAAATAAGGCATGAGAGTTTTTATCACATGCTAGTTTCTTTTCCCCTAACTATTTCATTTCCCCCACTTGAAACAGAGTTGAAGGGTGGATAATAAATGAAATTACACTTTAGATACTAGCTCAGCTTAATATTTATTTATTTATTTTTTATGGTGTGTACTTGAACATGTGCTGCAATGCAGCCAATGCTAGTTCTATTCAAACAAGTTCATTTAGAAAAGTGTTTGAAAAATGTAAATAGATTTTCTTGAATTTGGGTTCGACTTTATCTAACTTCTAAAGTTAGCTCATGAAATAAGCATTGTCCAAGTATTTATAAGTTCTACTTTGACCATAGCCGTAGTTGATATGAGATTTAACAACTTTTCTCATGCCTGAGACTAGAAATTTGGAGTGTGAAAACTCTAGGGCTAGTTTTTTATATTGCATTGGAAAAGTTGCAAAATCAGGTAAATTATACTGAAAAATTCCACAAAACTAGGTTCATTTTTGTATTGTTGCAATGACCTAGTATCAAATCTAATATAGACTTTGATACCATGTTAAATTTGAGTTATGACTAACTTAACTTTAAAAGTTAACTCATAAGATAAGAATTGCCCAAGCCATTATGAGTTCTACTCTGACTATATCTGTGATCAATGTAGGGTTTAAACAAATTTGACGCTTCATGTTTCCTAGGAGGGGCTTACAAAGTAGCAAGTATTGCCACATATGAATCGTTTTTCCTCAAATTTTCAATAAATAATACACACGCCCATATACACCATGTCCATGACATGCAACTTTTAGGATTTGTGTGTTCCCATGCCCCCTGTCCTCAATGTGAGTGCTTCATAGTGTCTAATAGATGATCTTGCTTTTGCTTTCCTAGTGAAGTGCAAGATGGATCTGTAATCTCTTTGAATGACTTTTATTGTTACCTTCTAAAAGGGTAAATGGATGTATTTTGTTTCTAGCTGTGTTCGAGTTCAGCATCTAAATAATGTTAGACACCCTTATTGGATCCTGTCCTTTCTAAACAGTTCTAGAAAGGAAGATAAATAATAATTTTACATGAAATTTCAATTCCGTTGCGTTAGAGAAAGTGGGTTATATGTTGTTGTTATATTTGTACCTCTTACAATCAAATTCATCTTGTGTCGTTGCAGAAAATTAGCATTTCAGTGATGTGGCTTCTTCATAGTTGAATATTGTTTATATATTTTGGTCTAATGTTCTTACAGGGATCCATGATTTTGGACCAATGCATATTCATTTCACGCTGTGACGCTTATGTAGATGACAGTGATACTTGGGGCAGTCATGCATCAAAGCCTGAATACAGTATTACAACCTCACAAGTATGCCTAAAATCCTTCCTTCTTAGAATGCTTTATTGCTTTTAGAAACCGAAGTGATAAAAGAAGTTTCTTAATACATATGAAAAACTATTCATAAAGCCTGCTATAATTTTTAGGTTATACTTATTCCTTTTGATTCTTTAGCCGCATATGAGAAGCTATTTATATGAAAAATATTAGAAGTTATTCTTTGGTTTTTCTGCAGTACGGTTCCATTTTCAATTGTGGGGAATTTAGTGTCAGTTTGGTTGAAGGAAATATTCTGTTTTGATTTTATGTTTTCACTAATAATTACAAAATTGATACCAAGGTGACATTTTGGTCACTATTGGAGATTATAGAAAACATTTCCGTAAGGCAAAAAGAAAATTATCAGTATTTCTTGTCTCCTTGAGGCTTTTCATGCCTGTGGTTCTCTCCATTGAAAATAAAGAGCAACAAAAAAGCAGAAAGATATAAATGCAACTCAAATCCATGAGAATGTCCCAGCACTACTCAACCTTGAAATTGCTGGCATGTCTTTCATGGACTGAACAATATGGTGATTCTAACATAATTGACTAAGATATATTATTTTCTTCTCGTTCCCAAGTAACTTAGTTCATAGACTATGGAATATAGTGACATTATCAGTTTAGTGATGCAAGTTCAATGCAATTGGTAGTTGGCTATTAGATTTGTAGCTTAACTTTTCACTTCTTGCTGTTAGCAATTTTATCTATTACCTTATTCTAAAATGAAAAAAACAGTAATAAATTAATGCTTGATCCCACCTTGTCGTGAATCATGCACAATAATGCTCCAGTATAGAATATAACAAGTAGCTTGCTGAGTTACTTTGGAGTCAATCATTGATTAAGCTAACGTGGTTTTCTTTGACAGGATGTTCACATGGATAAGTTTGTTTCTTCCCCAGGAGAAGCACTAACTATGGCTCAGGAGGTAGTCAAAACAATGGTGGCTAAGGGATATGTGCTGGGAAAAGATGCATTTGTGATGGCAAAAGCCTTTGATGAATCTCATAACGTATCATCTACAGCAGCATCCAAGGTTGCTGAACTAAGTAATAAAATTGGTTTAACTGATACCATTAATTCAGGCATTGAAACTTTTAAATCTGTGGACGAGAAGTATCATGTTACAGACTTCACCAAATCAGCTGCAGAAGTGACAGGAACAACAGCTATAGTTGTGGCCACAGTTACTGGTAAAGCAGCTGTGGCTGCTGGAAATGCTATAGTCAACAGTAGCTACTTTGCCAAAGGAGCTCTTTGGGTTTCAGATATGTTGACACGTGCAGCGAAAGCAACCGCTGATTTGGGTCAGAATGAAAAGAAATGAAACCCCAAACATAAACTGCTCTTTAATGTATTTGATTGTTGCAAACAAACAAATAAAAGCATTTGTTTGTTGGTACTTTATCAGAGTATGGGGCATGAACTTGCTCTACATGTGTGGTGGCTACTCATCTGGTGCAATTGTTCATATCAGTAGTTTTGGAGGATCCATGATAAGCAGCCACTTATTTGTTTATCCTTTTCGAAAATAGAACACACGGAACATTTTCTAGTTGTATGTACTATTGTTTCTTGTCTTCCCTTTGTGTGCCTGAAAGTGTACTAAGTGCATGTTTGGAATGGATTAATGTTGGGAGAATAATATCTATTTTTCTTAAAATTCTTTTAACAGGCTTAAAACATTTGATTATTTTTTAAAAAATTTGTTAACATCAACTCTTAGGACTAAGTTTAAGTATTCAAAAATAGTAATTCTTTTAGAAAGACTACATTTGTTACATTGAAGTTATATAAGTGTGATAAACGCTTTTTTTATACGTATAAACTTGCTATTTTTGTATACTTGAGGCTAACATTTTTATCCTTTTAAAATAAGTTGAAGTAAATAATTAGATAAATAAGTTTTTCTTTTAAAAGCTCTTAATGGCTGAATTTTGGAGCATGTTAATCGATGGTATGAAAGATGGCACTTGCAACTAGATCAGTTAACTAAATGCTGTTAAAATACAGATGCAAAATAGTGAAATACACATTCCTTGGCTTGCTGCATAAAATGTAATTAATTTCAGCTGTCAGTAGATTTGTTGCATCAAGACTCTTCACGCTGCCTACCACACACGGTTGTTACTCTCAAAACATAAGCAATCAACAATTTACATAATAACACGTTAACTACTTTCTAATATTTTTATGCTGCAACTAATTCCCTGCCAACCTGCTTATTATGCTTTTATAGGCATCCCAGCCAACATATCTCATTGCAAACTATTTATCACACTCTTTACGACCCAACCACTACTTTGCCGTGGCCGACTTACTTTAGTCCAATAATAATAAGTTGCATGCATTTATCTCAATCATTTAAATGCACTTGTTTTTTTCTCATTGGCCATCATCCATGCCAATAGGATAATAAACGTATTTATGCAAGTTTTTTTTCTGTGTGACAAGTACACACTGATTCCTTGTATCCATGGGATTGGTTTTCTAGGCCTTGTTTGTTCAATGGTAGTGGGCTCCTCCTTTGTATTCCTACAACGATATGCCAGTCACAATACTTTATTTACCATCAAAGCCGGGTCGTGGTTGGTTTCTTTTTCATCCATGGACATTTCATATTGTATAGACCTTATTTCCACATACTTTTGCATGTTACTAAATAACAGTTAAAACGTGTATTCAAGGATATAACCATGAGAACATATATATATAAAACCAGTTTAGATAATTTTACAGAAAAAATATTTATAAGAGAAAAAAATTCAGTACAAAAAATAAAAGTCAGAAAAGATAGATTATTTATAACTTATAAGTTTTATTTATTTTTATACTTATGTTTTTTTTTAATTTTATAAGAACTTTTTTATAAGTTTACTCAAACTCTGTCATAATAAATTTTTATTAAAAATAATAAGATATGATTAAATTTAATAATAATAATAATAATAAATATAATTTTTAATAAAAATAATTTATTAATTTTTTAGTGTGTATCCTTGTACAATCATTAACAAAACTGTTTATATAATAATACTTTAGTTATATTATAAATTTTTACTTCTTAGTCTCGTAGGGGTAAAAGGTATGAGTAACATGCCAAAGATAGCCCAAAAATCTATTATGTTGAAAGTAAGGATTACTAAGTAATTATTTTTCAGGCAATCTAGCTCTTCACCTTTTTTAATGATGAACTAATCCCTTCTAATCAAAACTGTTTTAATCTGCCGGGGTCACTGCCAAAGGTAGGTGATTTTTAAAAAATGGAAAGAAAAATAATGTATCATTTTGTGTATTCACATCTAACACTGTCCTCCACATAAATAAGCTATTGGCACTTTCAACCATTTCAGCACTGTAATTGTCATCTACCGCTAACAACCTAAACGTATTTTGATCTTGATTGGACTGCAAGGGACATGTTGCTTATTGGTATTTTGCTTGCTTATAGCCCCATTTATTGCATGAACGTATGAAGATGATTAAAAAAGGACATAAGTAGGTAAAGAAAAAAGTTTTGCTTCTTTGGCACAAATCATTGTATCATTCAGGTGTTCCTTAGTGGTGCATTCTTTTGTAAATGGCACGACATGGATTTCTAGTCCTAAACTCCATGAATATATCAATTATTTCACATAATTGGGTGTCTCAAATGTGGCACCGCCAAGTAATGATCAACCAAGAAAAAGTCTAAAAGACCCTTTTCAATTTTCAAGTGCCCTTTTGGAAGAATGCTGTGGTGAAACCTGAAGTCAAAATTGGTGATTCTGGGTGTCTTTGAGTTTTGGACCATCTGGCCCATGAAATGTCATTTTCTTCCATAGATTATCAAAATTCAAAGCAATGGACTAAATTTCCTCTGTTTTGAAGTGATATTAAAATTTATATATACAATAAAATTAAGAGGAGTCTTTATCTATAATGTTTGATGGTACGTTGAGAGATTACTCTCTTTCCGGTAGTAAAAATCTAATTTAAATTTAAATGGTTGAGCAAATGAGAAGAAAGAAACGTAAAGCAAAAACATTAAACGAGAATAGTAAAAATCTATGCTGCTGCTTTTAAAACTTTTTTGATTTCAAAGAAACTTTATGTGCTTTGAATAGGTTTTAGAAGACATCGTCTTCTAGGTTGAAATCGTAAAAGCTCTTCTTTTTAAAATATATAGGTGCTATTATTTTAGGGAGAATAGTGGAGATACTTTCACATGTAGATTTAGTGCTTTTCCATCCAAAGAAACATGATTTGACTCAATCACAAGTTTCTCGCCGAAGTTGACCTAGGCAATGTCCACCTAATATGCTATTTATTGCCCCACATAACCTGAGTTTATGTATAACAAAGAAATTATGGAATGATGCTTTAGGAAAAGATCAGTCAAAAGAAATATAAAAACAGGCTAGTAAAGCATAATATCGATAAAATAACATAACAAACACTTTCATTTTCAAATTGCTTGAAATTTTACAAATTTGTTGAAGCCTTCACGATTCATTCTTCAATAACCAAGCAATTGTTATCCAATATAAAAAAAAATATGGGCCTAAAAAAGATTATCTTAACTCTTTAACTCTTAACTCGTGAAGTGGCATACAGTTGGTAGCATAAAGATAGACAAGCATGGTAATTGCATTGAGCTCATAAACCAAATACCCACAAGTTCATTTTTTGTAATTAGCTTAGGGCAGGTTAAACTCTAGGCCTAGAAAGCATTCAAGGCTCCCAATTTCGAACATTACATCTTTGAAATTGTAAGAAAAAGGACACACTATGAAGTGAAAGAATGCAAATGATACCACCTAACTTTGTAATTTTCTTTTGCATTTCATCTTAATTTTGCAAGAAAGGCAATCGTATACAAGCCTTCTCTCTTTACTGAAAAAGAAAAAGTATACATTATGCAGCAACTGCACTTGTTGTGCAGGGGGAGTGATTAGAACATGTTATTCACTCTTTCACTAGAATCCAGCACACCCAAAACTTCACTGTACAATAAAATCTCACAAAATACACAATGCCCTGAAGAATAAAACTCAAAATTTGGTTTTCAGTACCTCTGTTAAATGTGACCTGGAATTGGGAACTAATAGCAGCACAAAGGGCAACGAATTAGCCCATTTTCATTGCAATCAGGGCAACGCTGGAATCCACACTCCCCCACCTCAGCATCAACAAATTCTTCATCTTCATCACCATCATAATAAATTTTACAGCTTCCAGAACATGTTTCACAAGGGACAAACCTCACATCTCCACAGGCCTCACATACTCTTCCACCATCACCTCCACCACTATCCTCAATCTTCTCACAACCACCCAAAAGTTTCTCTAGTTTCCCATCCTCATGTAGCTTCTGAATTTCCTCAGCCCCCCCAATGTAATTCCTCCCAACAAACACCCTTGGCAATCCCCCCCCACCATACCCATCATCCAGTAGCTCTCTAAGTTCCTCCTTGAACCCAGAATGCATTGACACATCTCTCTCATCCACTCTCACTCCCAATCCTTTCAGAATTAGCCTCACTTGGCAACAATCCTCATAAGTCTTTCTCACCCCGCGCAAACTTGTGAAATACAACACCACCTTGTCCTTCCCACATGGATCAACCTCCACATCATCATCACCTCTTGTTTTCTCCTCCTCTGATGAGAACCCTTTTCTAGTCCCTTGTTCCTCTTCATCACTTTGTGCCGGTCGAAGGTGGAAGGGGCTATCTGGAGATAGCCGTTGCAAGGACTTTCTGAATGAGGAAATCACTTCAGGATCAAAATCTGAGATTGCAGGACTGAGTCTTGATTCTTCCTCAGTCATCAAAAGCCACATGGGTTTTGGAGAAGCAGCAACACTCAATTTGGGTGGATCAACATCAACGTCGACATCAGCATCATCACCATTGACATCAAAAGAGAAGCTCCTGAAGTGACATGGTGATCGAAAAGGGGTGATATCTTCAAGGCCTTCCATGAGTTCCCATGTGTTGATTGTCTCAGGTTCACCAGGGGGTGTTCTTGTTGGGGTCTTGGGGAAAACTTTTGGTAACTTTTGCTCAATCATGTTGGACCAAGTCTTGGCCTCAATCAACCCCATTGAAAACTCTTCCGTTTTCTCTCTATCTAATATTGCTTCACTCTTCTCCTCCTTCTCTTTGAACCTGTGCATTAAGCTGCCATTATCAAACCTGAAACTTTCCGTGTCACTGACCTTGCCATTGGAAAGCTTGAAATCTTGGCCAAAATTCCCAGCAATGTTTTGAGATAGGTGGCAATTGGAAGCAGGGGAATTGAGTTTGAGAGTGCCCAATGTTGTGGAAGTGAGTGCCACAACATGGTAGCTATCACCTTCTGTTTGAGGAGGGTGATGAACATGCATTGAGTAGCTTCTTGGAGCTGGAGAATAAGGACCATTGCAACGCCGACATCGTTTCTGCTTTGAACTGGCACAACCCATGATCACTTGAAAACAAATCTGAATTATTAAGGGAAAAAAAAAACAAACTTTTGAGAATTTCACTTGGTGGCTTTTGTGCTAAAATGGAAAACCTTAACAATAACTAGTCCATGAAATGGAATTATTTCATTGATTTTGTTGTACCCACTAAAAATGAAGCCAATTTTGGAAAAAAAAATTGTGTCACCAATCTCATGGACATAGCTCCTTACAAATCCGACTTTGTTCATGTGCATATGATGCTCATGACCATGTTTGCTGGCACAATTATGACGAAACAAAGGGCAAGAAGATTTAACTTCTAAGTTTATTTTGCTACAAATGTTCCTATGTGAACCACTTGGATGCAAACGAAAAATGAGTGTGAAATTGAGGGGACGGAGAAAAATCCCAGAAAGAGAAACCAAAGATGAAATGGGAACGTGAATTGGAAAGTCAAAAGGACCAAGCTGAGAGATCAATCATTCGTTCATTCACTTGCACCACTATGATCTTTCTCCTTTCTCTCTCAAGAATTTTAGAGAGAGATAAAGACAAAATGAGGACGAACGCGAGTTGCAAGATTTGAAGGATGCAACTTCAGTTTACATAGATTTATACGATGAAATACGGAACATTTCTTTTCTTTTTCTTATACAGAAAGAAAAATAGACAGCAAAATTGCTACAGATTTTCACTTTTTTCTTTTAGTTGCGGGGAAAGTTTTTTTTAGGACACAATCAGTAGTTTTTTGAAGATGGGTTAAGACAGAATTGTTGCAAAGATAAAATTTAAGTATAATTTGATTTCTAATTAAAAATAGAATTCTATTTTAATAAAAAAATCCTTATTTAAAATTGTGATAAATCAGCAAAGTAAAATTTTATATTTGATAAAAATAATACTAAAATATTTATAATAGTTAAACTTAAATCTAACTCACAATTTTAATAAGATTATTTATTTCAACCTAAATCTATCTGACTTTATTAATACATAATAATATATGGGATGAAATTAAGTTGACTCAATTTATAAATGTAAGATATCAATCTTAATATTATGTATAATTATATTATAAAATTAAATTATATTTTATAAAACGAATTTTAAAGGAATTTAAGACACCAAACTAAATTAAAATGACTCAGAATATAATACAAACCCATCAAAGATACATAAAATCTAATTAGATCCGTAAAAATCAACCATAAACAAAAATAATTCAGGGGACGGGTCGGGTTATAGCAGAAACGGGTGAGAGCGAGGATCATTGCTTGAATCACTCCCTTTATCTTTCCTTTTTCCAGTGTCCACAAAGCAATAATTCAAACCTCTCTTCCACGTTGTTATGTTAAGAATTTTCGTTATTGTTTTCTTAAATCAAAATGCTTTATTTATTTTGGTACAGTTACCGCGAGGTGACCTAGACCAATTTCACTGTACAGAGCGTGAGTGAAGCTCAGAGCTTTTCTTAATGGTTGCTTCGCGCGTGGTAACAAACTAAGCGTACAGGCGCGTTGAACAGATCTCTCTACCTAGTGGTATCATCTACGATTCTGAATGCTACCCTCTAACCTTCGCCTTAAACCTTAAGCATTCTTTTTGGTGATTTATTTATTTTTCGTATGAACTTTATGTATTTTGTTAATTTATTTATTAAAATAAAAATGTCAACACTAAATAATGCATGTTGAATGTACTTTAAACAGGATGATTTTAATTAAGATTATATTGTTGGGATAATTTAATTAACTAACACTTTTCAGGCAAATACTCAATTTCAGTAAACTGTTTTGGGATTTCAACTTACAATTTCCTTTTTCTGTTTTGTGATAATTTCGTATATCATTCGGATAAAAAACTATTCTTTATTATTGCTTGTCACTGCAACTAAGAATTCCATTGAGAAATAAGCAGATGGGGGGTCTAAAAGAGAATTAAGAATGTTATGATTCAAATTCAAATTCTTCTAAATATAGGTAGGCAAAATGTTTGAGCCTTCCTATAAATTTTGCAATAAAACTAACCAAATACTCATTGTGATGAATAGACTAATGATCAAACTGATAATTATGATTTGTTGGTAAGAATTGCAGATAATGTATTAATCATTATAATACAACATTTATGTTGTGACTTGCTAATCATTGAATCGATTTACTGGTATTTTAGAAATTAGAATGATGAAGAACCATTCAGCAAAGACCAAACATGCCATTTCGAAATATAAGCATGCATGAACATCAATTAACGAGAGAATATTTAAGGGGGAACATTTGTTAGAGCCTTCAATTTAATAACTAGTTAAATCATTACATACCAAATTAATAATAATTGTAATAAGTATTTTACACAAGTTGTTGACACAGAAGAATCATGTACCGTAATGGAACTGGGATGTTTAAGCAGTTGAACACATTACACGACATATTTTAATGTATCTTTAAGAATATATAATACACCTAATCATTTAAATTTTACGCACAGATAATATAATATTCCCTTGTCTATGTGATGTTATGGGAATATCCTTTACATCAGTTTGATGTATTAGAAGATCGAACATATATAAGATTTATGTGCCTCGTTACATACCCCACAAATTTATTTTGATTATATTAACGTAATTATTTTGGTAGACTGTTTAACAAAGAGATTGAAGCAGTTTGGACAAAAGTATGACTTTAAGCATAAAAGTGTAACAAAGACTTTTCTTACATAAGATTAAAGGTTAACGTAAGTATTTGTTAACTTCCGTACGTAAGTTATCACACTGAATTAGAAACTGAAGTAGCTTTGAGGCCGTGGGGTATACGGATATTGCACTAAACAGTCGAAATGTACGTATTTTGAATATTTTCTTTATTAAATATTAATTAAGAAACTAATGAAAAATGATTAAGAAGGATGTAGTAATTAACAAATCCTGCTTTGTATTGAAGCGTTGGGCAAATGGTGATCGCCGTTAGCCGTTGCTTGCATTTAGACACTTTTACTAATATATATATATATATATATTCCTTCCTCAATAAATAGCATTCTTAATTGCTCTCATTTTATCAAATGAAGACTATAGAAGAAGTCATAATAACGGGAAACAGATCCACCAACCAACACATTTAATAAACTCACTAGATTCTACGCATGATTTCAACTTTTAACATATTTATTTAACGGTTTTCTAAACTTTAATCTTTTAGTTAAATTTAAGCCATTCATAATATTATCTTTTATTAAAAATAAATTTTTTTAATTTATTACTTTATTAATTTATAGTTTATAAGATAATAAAGAGTTTATAAAAAAAATTAGAAGTTATTATTGAAAAGTAAATATTCAAATGCTTAATTTTGGGTTTAAATTTACTATATTTTATGTGTATAGTTTGTTTTTTTCAATGTGAGTATTAATATGTAAATATTTCATGCAAATCATTATAAGAACATATTAATTAATGTATTTTTATTCTATTATTCAATTCCAATCATAACAATAATAATAATAATAATTAAAACTATAGTATTCATTTATGGCAAGATTGTAAAATGTGTTAAGGTTGAATAAATTAAATTTATAAATTGATATTTATTTAACAAAAACAAACATAAAATGTGATAAAAATATGTCAATAGACAAAACTTTAAACATAATAATGAATAATAGTTATAGTAAATTTAAATAAGCTAAATATCACATCTGAACATAAGAATTTTTCATCTGTATTAAAATTTTAAAAATAATTTTAATATAAATGCAATTAATAACTATATTTCTTAGTCTATATATTATCATATAAAGTAAACAAATAAAAAAAAAAACAGAGAAATAATACATAGCCTATGATTACGGGCATGGGGAAAATGGAAACTAGCTAACCGGGTACATAACCTGAGATCAACTGAAAAGTTGATCATGATCATTCGTTTCCCTTTTAAAAAGGAAGCTATTAAGTGATCAACAATGTCGTTAATAGCAATAGATTAATTAAAAAATAACTATCAAGCATTAAAATCCTAATATCGAATCTAAGTATTGAGGAAATTTTCTAATCTTATGATCTTACAAATGATATATATTCTCTAACACTATGCATGTTTGATTGATGTGAAAAAAAAAAAAAAAACGAACTAAGAGGAGTGAGATTGTGATTGATCCTTTACTTAGTTTAAAGAGAAAGACTAAAATAATGTCTGTCTCACTCGGTTCCATTTCTCATCACATTAGCCAAGTAAGTGAAGGGAGAAAGATTCTTTTTTTTTATTCTATCTTTATATAACTAATTTTTTCATTAAATATAATATATATAATAATTATCTATTTAAGAAGCCATTTTTTCTATTTCTTTTTTAAACAACTAAACAAAGAGTTTCAGAAAATATTTTTTTAATTTGAATATGATTACAAAAGAACATTTTTTTTTATATTTTATATACAAGATATTGAAATTAAGTTTTTATAATTGTCATTATTTTTATAATAAAAATGGAAGTAAAATAGAATACATCCCTTCGCTCTGGCCCCATTTAAACAAAGTAAATTTTCTTTATATTTTTGTGCAACTAATAAGTTTTAGTCTTAAAGATTTTGGAAAGCTAGACCAATGAACGGTAAAATAGATAATTGAATGAATTATTTTTGGGTTAAGTATAGTGCATAGAATAAAGAGTCAAAAGTAAGATTTTTTTATATTCAACGATGACAACATTATCCATAAAACGATTAATGGGGCAGCTGAGAATTGATGATTACATGGGTAGAAGCACACAACACTGATTTGGTTCCATTAATCTGATTTGGTATTAGGAGGGTACACGTGAGGGCACGTGGACATGGCCTCTTTACTATTTATTATTTATTATTTATTATTTAATATTTATTATAGGATCCAATTATGGCTGCACCTGTCCAGGGAGCAACTTCAATTTCCCCTCATCAACGCCTAAATTTCCTTCCACAGCATTTCCACGTGCCCTTCTATGTTTTGTTGATTTTTTATTCCTTTTATTCAGTAATTAGAATGCATTCTAGATATATCTTTTATATTAATTATTAAAATATTAATAATTCTTACTAATATGATAACCTGCGATTAGATATTTAAATTAAATTCACAAAAACCTGTAA